CAATGTCTCATTAATTTTTACATTGATTGCAGGCAGGAATGATAATATGTTGGCTATCATGGGTTAAAATAGACTTTCAGAATTCATTGTGTGGCATGGCATCTGTGCCTGAGGTGCTATATTGGTGCTTATCTAGGAGTGACCACCAGACAGCCTGTGTTCTGTGCATGCTTGGTTGGTTGCACAGCTGCATAGCCTTCAGAACAGTTAATATCTCATTAGATCCATGTCCTTGGGAGAGGGTTAGGCAATATGCAGTTTATTTCCATGGGATGTCTCCATCCTTAGCGATTTCTTTAGAAATTATATGACACCTGTCATTTCTGCAGGTGACCTTGCCCTGGAGGAAGGTGCTAGTGGAGCTGCTAATCGTCAGGGTAGAATTTCAGCCATGCTGTCTCTCCTGTGTATGAGGAGATCTGCCTGCTCCATGTTGGGGTCTTCCAGCTGTTTCACTTCAAGTTTCTTTACCTTGTTCTGCTCTCATTGCCCAGACTAGAGTGCAATGGCTCGATCTCAGCTCACTGCAACCTCCACCTCCCAGGTTCAAGTGATTCTCCTGTCTCAGCCTCCCAAGTAGCTGGCATGCACCACTAAGCCCGGCTAATTTTGTATATTTAGTAGAGATGGAGTTTATCCATGTTGGTCAGGCTGGTCTCAAGCTCTTGAACTCAGGTGATATGCCCACCTCGGCCTCCCAAAGTGCTGGGATTACAGGCATGAGCCACCGGGCCCGACCCTTTGGTAGCAATTATTTTATGCATCAGCTGGTTAGGTGGACACTACTAGTTGTTTTCACTTTAGCAGAGTTGGGGTAGCCGGAAGCAACTATCAGGGCGTAACGTATCCTCAGATTTCAGGCAGTCTGTGGGGAAAGTGAGAACCTGTCTTGTCCATGAGGCCAGTGTGAAGGGTAAGGGTCTTTATCCCTGTCACAAGGCTTGAGGCCAAACTTTGCACTTTGCCTTTTGCCCTCCAGCCAGAGAAGTTTCTAGCAACCTCCATTCTCGGCCGAAAGGGTCCAGGCATTATATGACGGTCAAGCCCTGGAATTTTATATTCCTAGACTTTGTGGGTTACAACATGGATACATACTGTCAACTTCGTTCTGCAGCCAACTTCTCACATCTAACAGTACATCCTGAATGTAATTTAATGTAACTAAAAGTACATTGTCGTGATTGTTTTAACGCCCATGAACGTCATTTCAAACCACTACACCAATACTTACTTTGCCATTGTTACTAATCTTCTGATATTAAATAAGAAGTAGATGATCAATCCTTTTTAACAAGGTTCAAACATTTCTCTGATTTAGATCATTGTAAAATTGCTGGGTTGATGAATGTGCACATTGGTGCAGCTTTTGGTATGTGTTACCAAGTACCTGCTGAGAAAGTAGCACTTATCAATACCACTAGCAGAGGGCAAGGTCATTCATTTTCTAATCTCTTGATGAACTGGACATTTAAAATGTTTTGCATTACTTGAGAGGCACAAACGTAATGCTGTTATTTTAATTTCTATCTCTTTCCTAATTCAAGTATTGGGTAATTGTATGTATTTGTAAAGGTGTGTTCATAGCCTTTGTCTTTAATGATGTTTTTAATGGCTTGTTCATCTTTTGTTTATTTATCCAAAATGTTCTTTATATAATAATGATATGAGCCCATGTGTCATAGATTTTTGCAATGATTTATCCCCCATTTGTTTTGCCGTTTAATTGTGTGATGGTGTGGAAAATTAAGAGGCACTTAGTCTGGGTATGGTGGCTCATGCCTAAAATCCCAGCACTTTGGGCGGCCAAGGTGGGGGGATTGCTGGAGCTCAGGAGTTTGAGACCAGCCTGTGCAGTGTGGCCAGTCCCTGTCTCTACAAAAAACACAAATATTAGCTGGGCGTGGTGGTGCATGCCTGCAGTCCAGCTTCTTGGGAATCTGAGGAGGGAGAATGGCTTGAGCCCAGGAGGTTGAGGCTGCAATGAGCCACGTTTGCACCACTGCACTCCAGCCTGGGTGACAAAGCAAGATCCTGTCTCAAAAAAAAAAAGAAAAGAAAAAAGGAGGAGGAGGAAAGAAGGAAGAAGAAGGAGAAGGAGGAGGAGGGGGGGAAGTGGAAGGGAGAGGAGGACGAGGGAAGATGAAGAAGAAGGGGAGGAGGAGAGAAAGAAAGAAAAGGAGGAGGAGCGGCTCACATTTTTGTAGTATTTTACTTTTTCCACTTTTATTCTATTATTTTGAAGCAGCAGCAGCACTCACATTGTGTAGTATTTTTCCACTTTTATTCTATTATTTTGCCTAACTGAAAAATTTGTGTATATTTCTACATTTTTAAAATAAAAACTCTTTATTCAGTTACCATAATATTCAACCTTTTAAAGTGTACAGTTCAATGGTTTTGAGTATATTCACATGGTTGTGCAGTCATCACCATTATCTAATTTTAGAATATTTTCATCACTCTAAAATGAAATCCACACCATTATCCATTTCCCCCCATTTCCCTTTTCCCCAACCTTTGCCACTAATCTGTTGTCTCTATGAATTTTCTTATTCTGGAAATTTTATTTAAATTGAATTACATAATATGTGGGTTTTTTAATTCATGACTTCTTTTACTTAGCTTAATGTTTTCAACGTTCATCCATGGAATGTGTATCTGTTTTATTGAGGAATAATAATCCATTGTGTGCATATACCACATTTTATTTATCCATTCATCAGTTGATTGACATTTGGAACATGAAATTTTGAGGTATTATGTATAACGCTGCTATAAACATTCATGTACAAGTTATCATGGGAGGAAATGTTTTCATTTATCTTGGACATATACTTGAAGTAAAACTGCTGGGTCATGTGGCAATTCTATGACTTTTTGAGGAACTGTCAAACTATTTTGCAAAGTGGCTGCACCATTTTACAATCCTGACAGCAGCGGATGAGAATTCCAAATTCTCCTTGTCTTTGCCAAACTTATTATTGGCTGTATTTTTAATTTTAGTTCTCAGGTGGCTGAATGTAGTTTAGACAAAAATGAAATGAACAAATTCAAAATTCAATATACTAGGAAAGTTCACTGTGGAAATTGTTCTCTTCAACAAATTGTGCTGGGATAACTAGATGTCAATATGCAAAAGAATGAAATTGAACCTCTACTTCACACCATGTACAAAAGTGAGCTCAAAATAGATGACAGACCTAAAGGTAGGAGCTAAAACTATAAACTTCCTGGAAGAAAACATAGGAGTAAAACTTTGTGATCTTGGGTCAGGCACTGTTTTCTTAGATATGATATCAAAAACAGGTTGGCAAAAGAAAAAACAGATAAAATGGACTTAATCAACATTTAAAAACATTGATGCTTCAAAGGACACCATCAAGAAGGTTAAAAAGACAACCATGGACTGAGTGAAACATTTACAAATGACTTATCTGAAACGTGACTTATATTCAAAATATATGAAGCCTTGCAACTCAGCAACAAAAAGATATCCAATTAAAAGTGAACAAAGAGTTTGTTGTTGTTTGAGACTAAGTCTTGCTCTGTCACCAAGGCTGGAGTGCAGTGGCACCATTTTGGCTCATTGCAACCTCTACCTCCTAGATTCAAGCAATTCTCTTGCCTCAGCCTCCCACGTAGCTGTGACCACAGGAGCTTGCCATCACCCTAATTTTTGTATTTTTTGTAAAGATAGGGTTTCAATATGTTGGGCAGGCTGGTCTCTACTTATTTTGTTCAGTCCATATCCGTGGTGTATAAAACAGTGACTTGTGGGGTGGGGTGGGGGGGAGTAATAGCATTTATTCCATGAATATGACTATAGCATACACACATACACACACATACATGCCCACACTGTATCTAAAAAGATAGAGTAGAAAATTATGTTTACCTCTAAGCAAAAGAACTGAGAGACAGCGGTGGGAGAATATTTAACTCACTTTGTACCACTCTGAAGTTTTCCTATATGTGTATGTATGCCCCAGTCCTCCCTGCTCCCCAAAAGTCTTAGTGGTAAATCCCTATGTTTTGCCTTAGGAAAGCAAGTTGTAGACAAATGTGCATATATAATCTGATTCTATTGGGCTGTATGAACACAAGGAAGTAACTATACCAACCACCTAGAGATCCAAGGAAAGCCCCGTGCTTGAATCTAATCTCTCACAGTCCCGGATCCTGGGCCTATCCCAACCCACCCACACCTTACACCCTTTTATTCATACCCAGATCCCTGCCCCTACAACGGGTGTCCACCCACAGTCCCGCCCCCAGAACTGGTCTCCGCCCACCATCAGCCCCGCCCTTAAGCTTGGTCCCATCCATAGCCCCGCCCCTAGAATTGGTCTCCGCCAATCAGCACTGCCCTTCCGGGCCGGCACACCAACAGCCTGGTCCCCAACTCCAGCGATGCTCGGAACTGGTCTCCTCCCACAGCCAGGCCCATCCTCGAGGTTACCCGCTCTCATCCCCACCCCGGAACTGGAGGTCTCCGCTGTCAATCCCACTCCACGCCTGGTGCCGCCCACAGCCCCGCCCCAGATTTCGTCTGCGCCCCTGGACCAGATGTCTGCCCACTCAGCCCCGCCCTCCAAGCCCTGTACCATCAATTCTGAGAACTGGGCCCCGCCCCCAGATCTGGTCCCCGTCCCTGGAACTGGTCTCTGTCCGGTCACCCTCCAGGCCTGATACGGCCATAGCCAAGACCCCGCCTTCAGCCCCGCTCCGGAACCGGTCTCCGCCGAAGTCAGCCCCACCGCCTGGCTCCGCACCCCCATGGCCAACCTTGCCCCCGCTACTGCCCCAGGCCAGGGGCCAACGCTGTGCTCACTAAGCAAACAACACCTCTGGGCGAGGTTGGGGGTGCGTGGCAGCCGCTCCCTCCCGCCACGCCTGCGCCTAAGCGCCAAACCCCAAAACACGCCCCACTCTCCGCGCAAAACGGAAGTGGACGTGCAGCGCGGCTCGCCCCAGACCGGAAGCGGAAGCGCGGGGCGGTGCCGTGGGAGGAGCAGCGCGTGGGGCAGCGGGGAGCGAGTCCATCCGTCTCCGCGAGTCGGCGCTTTTGTCCCCGCGGGAGGGGCCGGGCTTGGTGAGCGGCGGGCGGGGACTCGGGTCGGAGTCTAGGGGCGACGTGGGCCTTGGGCACTGCCAGCCCCGGGCCCTGCGTCCCTCTCGGGAGCCGCGTTTCCGTCCTTGAGGCCTCGGCTGTGTGCTCAGGTCAGCCCGAAGCTGCTGTTTTCTCCTGGGTCGGGGCCCCGGGCCGCGGTCGCCTCCTCGGAGAGTCCCGGTCGCCCTCATCCGGGGCCGTTCTGCGCCCCAGGGGACTTTGGCTGTGGCTGGAGACTGTTGTGGTCGTCACAAATTTTGGGGAGGGGAGACTGTTACTGTCACCTAGAGGGTGGAGGCCGGGGAAGAGGGATGCTGTTTGCTCTTAGAGATCCTACGTTGTACAGGACAGTCCCCCACAACAAAGAATTATCAGTAGTGCCAACTTGGGAAACCCTGCTCTAGGGCCTTTAAAAAAAAAATCTCTCCAATTCTGAATAAACTATATAAACTGTTAAAAATTCAGCTTAGTCACTTAATTAGGGCCTCTTAAGTGACAAGATATTTTTAAAGCCTCTGGAGTCACCTTAGAATCTCTCTCCAGACTAGTAAGTTGAGCAAGTCAAATGCACACAGCATCAAGCTGCTTTCTCCCCTCTTAAAGAACACATGGCAGGATAGGAATCAGGTAAATCCAGGCTGGGCCCTTATTACGCATTTAATCATTGAGTACCCAAAAAAAGTGAATAGGATGGTGTTTCCAACAGGTATATCCAACAACTGTACAACCTGTAAAAAGCCTCGAAAGAAGTCTTTGTGCCTTTTTATTTCCAGGTGAGAAAAGCATCATTCAAGCTCAGATTCCTGCTGAAAGGAGCCACAAGGTCCACCTGTCGTCACTGACACGTGGGTTTCTGTGTGACCAGGTGAGTACAATGTGGAACCTACAGCAAAGTTCCAGCAGTCTCTGCTGTGTGGAAGAACTGCTGATGGGCTTTTCCTGTGCTCGAGTTGTAACCACATGAAAGTCACTAAGAGTGAAGGTTTCTTAAAAGTTCAGGGTAGGCAGGGCGTAGTGGCCCACACCTGTAATCCCAGCACTTTGGGAGGCCAAGGCAGGTGAATCACGAGGTCAGAAGTTCAACACCAGCCTGATGAAACCCTGTCTCTACTAAAAATGCAAAAAATTAGCCGGGCATGGTGGCAGGTGACTGTAATCCCAGATACTCGGGAGGCTGAGATAGAGAATTGCTTGAACCTGTGAGGTGGAGGTTGCAGTGAGCCGAGATCGTACCACTGCACTCTGGTCTGGGCAACAAGAGCAAAACTCTATCTCAAAAATAAAAAAATAAAAGGAAAAGTTTAAAGAAACAGAAGTATTTATGGTTATATGTGTGTAAGTAAGTATAGTTACTTGCAAATAAATATGTGTAACTGTAGATAAATATAGATTTTCTGGCATGCTGTAATACTAGAAGTTTCTGGATTTTATATAAGTATAAATATAGAAAATATTTATGTATATATGTAGTATTACAAGTCCTCCCACTGAAAACTAGCAGGACAGCTCAGCAACATTCTTAAGACCTGACTGATTTGACTTTTTTTTTTTTTTTTTAATTGAGACCAAGTCTTGCTCCATTGCCCAGACTGGAGTGCAGTGGCGTGATCTTGGCTCACTTCAACCTCTGCCTCCCAGATTCATGCAATTTTCCTGCCTCCGTTTCCTGAGTAGCTGGGACTACAGACATGTGCCACCATGCCCAGCTAATTTTGTTTATATTTTTAGTAGAGATAGGTTTTTGCCATGTTGGCCAGGCTGGTCTCAAACTCCTGACCTCAAGTGATCTGCCTACCTCAGCCTCCCAAAGTGCTAAGAATACAGGCATGAGCCACCACACCCAGCCATCAATTTGACTTCTAAAGGCATATCAGCCCTCCACCAAACTTCAAAATATAAGGGCATCTGTAAAAAGGATGATCTGAGCTTCCTTGTTACTAATGTGATTAGTAACAAATTTAGCATTGAATTGATGAGCGACCAGGTGTGTTTTGAGCAATGAAATTTTTTTCCTAATGAGATTTGAAATCATTTGGAAGAATATTAATCAACAACTTATAGATTGAAGGGTAGGGCAGTGGTTTCCAAAAAGATCGTCCTCTGCACCTTGCCTCCTGTATTAGTCGGCTTTCACACTGCTATAAAGAACTACCAGAGAGTTTTCACACTGCTATAAATAACTTCCTGAGACTGGGTGACTTATGAAGGAAAGAATTTTAATTGACTCACAGTTGTGCATGGCGGGGGAGGCCTCAGGAAACTTACAGTCATGGCGAAAAGCAAGGCACGTCTTACATGGCGGCAGGAGAGAGAGAGAAGAGGTAAGCGCCAGACTTTTAAACCATCAGATCTCATGAGAACTTACTCACTATCAGGAGAACAGCAAGGGGGTAGTCTGTCCCGATGATTCAGTTACCTCCTACCAGGCCCCTCCTCTGACATGTGGAGATTATTATAATTCAAGATGAGATTTGGATAGGGGGACACAGAGCCAAACCATATCATTTCTTAATAGGAATTAACTTCGTTTCTTAAAACTTCTCTGAGATAGCAGTATGGTGATTCATATTGCAGAGAATGATGTTAAGTAATCTTGTATTCAGTTGTGGGGTTTTTACTAATTGTGTGTGTTTGCACCTCTTCCATTCTAGCTTTTCTACAACATTCTTGAGGGAGTGTTTGCTTATCATGCAATAGATATTATTTGAGTGCACAGTTTATGGTGACTAGCCACCCTCATTCATTCAGGACCAAGGGATTTGCTATGGCACAGGACATCCAGTGTTCAAACCAGGACAATCCTTGGCAAACTAGGTCGCCTCCGTGAGTCAGGCCCTGGGTCAGATGCACAGCGACCCTGGAGGACCCGAAACAGGCCCTGTCTTACCTCCATAAAATGTACCTTCTAACAGGGAAGATGAATTTTAAACAGTGAATGACAGGAGTGATGTGGGAACTTGGCACAAGTGGACTTGGTCAGAGGGAACAGAGAAGCTTTCTGGGGAAGGATATTTAGCTTGAGAGCTTAAGCTGTTACAGAACTGGACTGGGGTCTGCTCATCTGGTGGTGCAGTAAACCCAGATGTCTACATTGAGGGTTGCTGCAATAGATAGAAAGGCTTCTTTTATGCAGAACAGTAAATAAGGAGGACCAGACCATTAAATGCTCAAATCCTGGCCTCCCCAGTGGCTTCTAGGCAAGGATTTTTTTTTTTTTTTTTTTTTTTTTAAATGAGACAGAATCTCACTGAGTTGCCCAGGCTGGAGTGCAATGGCACGATCTCGGCTCACTGCATCCCCTGCCTCAGCCTCCTGAGTAGCTAGGATTACAGGCATATACCACCACACTCAGCAAATTTTTTATATTTTTGATAGAGACGGGGTTTCACTGTGTTCGCCGGGCTGGCCTCGAACTCCTAACCTCAGGTGATCCACCCACTTCGGCCTCCCAGAGTGCTGGGATTATAGGCATGAGCCACCACACCTGGCTAGGCAAGGATTTCTAAAGGCAATGGTAAATTACAGAAAAGCAGAAGCTACAGGTAATATCATAAAAGCAATGCATGGAGGTTACATGCTGGTTTAGACCTAAAAGGGCAAGGATATCTTGAAGCAGGAGCTTAGAGGTCATAGGCAGATTCAAAGATTTTCTGATTTGTAACTGGTTAAGGAAAAGAAGATTGGTTTAAAAATTTAGGGACTGTAGGAAAATGTTAACTGGCTGGGGGAAGTGACTTTTCTCCAAGCCCCTCAGGAAGAAACTTAGCACAAAGGGTGCTGAAGTTCAGCATTCACTTCCCCTTTATCTCGGGTCTCTGAGCCAGCAGATCCATTCAGTGGGGGTCCTCAGTGGGAGTCCCAGCCTCTGAAAGGCAACTCAGGGACACAGGTTGTTATCTTCAGTTTCATAGGGGAAGCAAATATCTCTGGAGCCTTAACTTCTTTGGCTGTTGTTTTAGATTACTATTACCTTCTTGTTTAACAAGTCCCTTATTTACTTCTGGGGCTAGCTGGATGCCAGGAATTTCTCTTTAAGGATCTTCAGGATTTTCCTTTATTTTCACGCTGGGGGTTCACAGGCCCCTAAAAAAGGGAATTGCTGTTTCATCTCCAAGTTGGGGTCAGATGTAGCTAGTCACAGGGCTCGACTGGAGTGAGGGGACAGGGATATATCAGCACTGCCTGTTGAGGAAGCTGCGTAAGGAAGTCCCCTGCCACAGGAGAGAGGCTGCCATGCTCCTTACACTGGGAACACGGGGATGGCTGAAGCCAAGACAAGAACAGGGAAAGAAGCCGGGCACAGTGGCTCACACCTGGAATCCCAGCACTTTGGGAGGCTGAAGCAGGCAGATCACTTGAGGTCAGAAGTTCGAGAGCAGTCTGGTCAACCTGGTGAAACCTCGTCTCTACTAAAAGTATAAAAATTAGCTGAGTATGGTGGTGCACACCTGTAGTCCCAGCTACTCAGGAGGCCGAAGCAGGAGAATTTCTTGAACCTCAGAGAGAGTTTACAGTGAGCTGAGATTGTACCATTGCATTCCAGCCTGGGCAACAGAGCGAGAGTCCTCATTAAAAAAAAAAAAAAAAAAAAAAAAAAAGAGAGAGAAGAACAGGGAAAGAGGTGTGATCAAGACCAAGAGGGAGGCAGAACCAGACCAGGCCTCACTTCAGACTCTGTTCTCAGGCCAGTGGGAAGAGACTGAAGAGCTGTGGGCCGGAAGGTGATGTGATTTGCATGTAGTGTAAGCATGTGGATTAACAAGGACTTCAGGATTCATAAAGAAGATGTTTAAGAGGCTAGAGAGGGGCTGGGCGCGGTGGCTCAATCCTGTAATCCCAGCACTTTGGGAGGCAGAGGCGGGTGGATCACAAGGTCAAGAGATCGAGACCATCCTGGTCAACATGGTGAAACCCCGTCTCTACTAAAAATACAAAAAATTAGCTGGGCATGGTGGCACGTGCCTGTAATCCCAGCTACTCAGGAGGCTGAGGCAGGAGAATTGCTTGAACCCAGGAGGCGGAGGTTGCGGTGAGCCGAGATCGTGCCATTGCACTCCAGCCTGGGTAACGAGCGAAACTCCGTCTCAAAAAAAAAAAAAAAAAAAAAAAAAAGAGGCTAGAGAGAAGGTGTTCTGAGGTAACTTAGGAATCAGATGATTCTTCCCTAAGCCTGGATGATGGTCTTGGAATAGGAAGGATGTAGAAAGAAGAGACCTGGGAGTTAGAACTGAGAGAATGTGTTGCTGCTCGCTTTCATCCATGCCTTGGTCAGAGGGCTCACAGTGCCCACTGTGCCCCAGCTCCTGTCTGTGCAAACCTGCAGGCAGCCCCCTTAGCCTAGGGCTATGTGCCCACTTTTACTTCGCCACTCACAGGGCCTCGCCTCTGCATCCTCAAGGAAGTCAGGCCTCCGCATGTCTAAACCCTGTCCATTTTGGTAGCCACTAGCCACATGGAGCTATTTCAATTACACCAATGAAAATGAAACACAATTAAAAATTTGTTTTCAGGCCAGGCATAGTGGCTTATGCCTGTAATCACAGCACTTTGGGAGGCCAAGGCGGGTGGATCACCTGAGGTCAAGAGTTCTAGACCAGCCTGGCCAACAGGGTGAAACCCTGTCTCTACTGAAAATACACAAATTAGCTGGACATGGTGGTAGGTTCTTATAATCCCAGCTACAAGGGAGGCTGAGGCAAAATTGCTTGAACCTGGGAGGCAGATGTTGCAGGTTGGGCCACTGCACCCCAACCTGGGTGACAGAATGGGACTCCTCAAAAGAAGAGGGAAAGAGGTGTGACCAAGACCAAGAGGGAATGTGAAAAGGTGCAACTGCTATGGAAAAGTTTGGCAGTCACTCAAAAAGCTTTCGGTGGCAAAAATTGCAATCACTTTTGCACCAGCCTGAAAGCTATCACATAGTTTATTCAACCAGTCCCCTACTGATGGTCATTTGTGGTATTTTCAGCCCTTTGCGATTATACGAAGTCCCACAGTGAATTATCTTACACTTCTTCTAGTATTTGTGTACCTTCGAGATAGATTTCTAGAAGTGGGATTCTAGGAAAGACCAGATGTTTTCTGCAGCCTTGCTTGACATCAGCGAATTTCCTTCCTGAGGGGTTGTCCCCAGCAGTGTGTGAGAATGAAGGGTGTGGGCCACTGTGTCTCTGGTGACCTAACAGTTGGGAAATAGTACCAGAGTTGCTCTAATCTGCGTCTCCCTGTGAATGAAATCACTGGCGATTCCGAAAGGGTATTGTCCTTGGGATGATAGTGGGGAAGCCAGATTACACCATGTGAGGACTGAGGAAGGGAGACAGAGTGAAGAGCTCTGGCTGGGATGCGGACTGGGCAGTAACCAGAAAGAAAGCTGTGCTGCGAGCGTAGGCTCATGGCACTGCAGAAGATGACAGATCAGGCTTGAGGGGTGTGAGGAGGAGTATAGCAGCAGAGGAGAGCTTGAAGGGAAAGGGCAGAGGAGAGAGCTTCAAGCATGGACAGCTCCTCAAAAGCAGGAGGGTGGACCCCAGGCCAGAACTGCCCAGCAGGCCCCGTGGAGAAGGCAGGTGGCTCCTTGTCTGCGACTGGAGGAGCGGGGAGAGCAGGGCGCAGGTTGCAGTGCTGGCAGCAACACGGGAAAATAGATTCTTACTTGTGATCGTTACCCTGAGAAGTGGGATCCTGATTGCCTGCTGAAAATGAGATGCTTTGTCATCTCTTGCTGCCTAACAAATGATCTCAAACCATAGTCACTTAAAACAATGACCGTTTATCGTCTCCCTGTTTTTGTGTTTCAGGAATTCAGGAGTGGCTTGGCTGGAAGGCTCTGGCTGGAAACTTGCAGAAGGCTTTCAGCTGGGTCTGCATCATCCAAAGGCCCCACTGGTACTGGGGGCCCCTCCATGGCCTGCAAGTCAGAGCTGGCTGTTGGTGGGAGGCCTCAGTTCCTCTCCACCTAGGCCTCTCCACAGGGCTGCCTGAGCATCTTCCCAGCATGACGACTGGCGTCCGCTAGGACAGCATCCAGGAGACCAAAGCAGAAGCTGCGGTGCTTTCTGGGACCTGGCCCTGGAAGTCACTCCTGCACCCACCCCCGCTGTCTCCTATGCTGTATTCTGCTGGTCACACAGGTCAGCCCTAATTCCATGTGTGTGTTGGGCCTACACAGGGTGTGAGCATCAGAAGCCTGGGATCACTCATTAGGAAGCAGTTGCCACAGAGGGGACAGGGGAGGAGCTGTGAGGTAGGATCACCCAGCAGGGCTGAGGGTTCTTTTCATGTTGGTGACTGTGTTCTTTCAGAGTGGCATCGTCACAGCCTTTACACAGAGTCGTCTGCCTTAATGCCCCTGGAGTGGGCAGATGATGGAAGTCACACTTGGCTAGAGTTCTGCTGGTCTGGCCTGATGGTGGGGGAGGGAAATGAGCTGAAATGAGGGGCAGCTGGGTGAGGATGAAATCAAGAGTAGGGGTGGCTAAGGCAGGACGGTGAGTGTCCGAGGCAGAGTCCAGGCAGGAATGGGGTGACCGAGGCAGAGCACGAGCAGGAGTGGGGTGACTGAGGCAGGAGAAGGACTGACTGAGGCAGAGTTCAGGCAGGAAGGGGGTGACTGAGGCACAGCACAGGCAAGAGGGGGGTGACCGAGGCACAGCACAGGCAAGAGGGGGGTGACCGAGGCACAGCACAGGCAAGAGGGAGGTGACCGAGGCACAGCACAGGCAAGAGGGGGGTGACCGAGGCACAGCACAGGCAGGAGGGGGGTGACCAAGGCAGGAGAGGGTAGCTGAGGCAGAGCACAGGCAGGAGAGGAGATGACTGAGTCAGAGCACAGGCAGGAGGGGATGACTGAGGCAGGAGGGGGTGACCGAGACAGGAGGGGTGACCGAGGCAGGAGGGGTAACTGAGTCAGAGCACAGGCAGGAGAGGAGATGACCGAGGCAAGAGGGATGGCCGAGGCAGGAGGAGATGACCGAGGCAGGAAGGGGCGACCGAGGCAGGAGGGGGTGACCGAGGCAGGAGGGGGCGACCGAGGCAGGAGGGATGACTGAGGCCTGCATGTGGTCAGAGGACATGGCGGTGAGAGAAAAAATGAGCGAACATGATGAAAGTTGAGGAGGGAGATTGGGTTCAGAGAGAGGGGAGTTTTGGAATGTCATTCTGGGTGATGACCACGCCTGAGGTGACCTGTGGAAACACGTAGCTGATGGGGAGAGAAGGGACAAAGGGCCCTGGAGCTGAGAAACTCCTGAGACCCTGAGGGTCTTTGATGTCATCCAGAAGCTGGAACTGGAGGTGGGAAGAGTGATGGAGGCAGGCGTCTGAGTCCCCAGGGAAGGAGGGAGTAGCTGGGACTGCATTTCTGGCCACACCTGGGTGGGAAGAATGTGCCCTGAGACTACACGAAGCCAGGGTTCTTAAAGCAGGTGGAGCAGAGTGGTTGAGCTGGGGACGGAGGAAAGCACGTTTTCCATCAGCTGGCCTTGAATTCATTGCCTGCTCTGCAAAATAAAGGCCCAGTGTGGAAGCCAGAATTTGCATTTGAAGGATGAGCCGAGGAGGGCCTGTCCCCAGCAGCCCGAGAGGGAGGAGGCTGTGGGGACTCGGAGTGTCCCATTTCTTCCAGAGCACTGTCCTGAGGGTGCCTCAGGAAGAAGGGAGGCGCGTCCTGCCTCCCGGCTGCCCTGTTGCTGTCGGAGTCACAGGATGTCGGCCCTTGTCCTACCCGCCGCCGGTGGTGAGTCGTGGGGTCTTGGCATTTCTCATAGTCAGGATTGAAAGGCTCTGACCCTCAGCCTGGGACGGGACTGGGCCTGGGCAGAGCAGGTGAGGCAGGAGTGGAGCCCCAGGGGCCCAGAGGTCCTCCGTGCCCGACAGGGCGGCTCTTGGGATTTGGGACTTAGGTGTTTGGGTGTCTGTGGATGTGACCTGTTAGTGAATGTGCCGGAGCTTTTGAATTCTCCCTTTATTTCTGTTAACCTGATAAAAACTGATGTCCTTGGAAGCTGTTTCCTCGTCTGTGAAGTGGGAATAATCTCTTCCCCAGGTGCAGTCAGACCTTGAGCCCTGTTACCTTTCGTTGGTGAGACAGGGCTGTTTGGGTGTCTTAGGAGAGTTGTGGGTAGGTGTTTGCATGGGGTGTAGGTAGGTGCTGTGTGGGCGTAGGAGGGGGATATGGTCAGTCACAGGCAGATACGTGGGTGTTAGACAAGCCTAAATCTCCGGGACTCATTTCTCCTCCTCCAGCTTCGTCTTCCCCATTCTCAGCCTCTCAGCAAAAAGGACACACAGAAGGCCGAGGGCTGGTTAATGAGCTCCTGACAAGCTGGCTACAGGTGAGTTGGATTCTCCTTTTCCCAAATTGTTATTCCTTTAGCCAGAAGGTTGGATTTGATACCTCCCAGCAGCCTGGAGCCTCGCAGCCAAACTGGCTCCTGAGGCATCCCAGGATTTCCAAGCATCTGATAGAGGGTGAGGGCTGCCCAGAAAATGTCAGTGTGTGTGGACGGTTACCGGAGGTTCAGAGCATTCTCCAGGGTCCATAAATACATCATGTGCTCCTGAGAGTTTTAAGGGAAAGCCAAGTAAAGGCATGACGATGTTCTAAGCCCAAGCAGTTTATAAAAGCCATACAGAAATCATTCATTCACTTACCAAGTATTCCTCTGATTTCTGCCATGTCCCGGGCCCATGCTCCCCTGGAGACTGAGAGAATAAGATTACAGGAGCCCCCGGTCTGAGAGAGAAAAGACAGTTGCTCTGGGGTACTGTGCATTAAACCTGAGGAGTGGCCTAAGGAGTCAAGCATTGAGGGCTGAGCCTGGAAGCCAGGGAGCGGAGCTCAGAACCCCGCCCCACATCTCGTGCTCAGGTTTCCCCAGCCCTGGCTCTGTTCTCCTGGGCCCTCTTCCTGTGCAGTTGGTGAGGGTTGTCCTCAGCTAAACTGTGATGTTTGTGATGCTTTAGGGGTTGGTGACCTTCGAGGATGTGGCTGTGGAGTTCACCCAGGAGGAGTGGGCGTTGCTGGACCCTGCCCAAAGGACACTGTACAAGGATGTAATGCTGGAGAACTGCAGGAACCTGGCCTCCCTGGGTAAGCCTGACGTCATTTCTGCATTTATTTAATGACTCTCGTGGCAAGACTTGCCTTATTTTTTTATTGTGGTAAAATTCATACAACATAAAATTCACCATTTTAACCATTCTTAGATGTCCAGTCCAGTGGTTTTTAATATATTCATGGTATTGTGCAACCATCAACACTATCTAATATCGCACCATTTTCATCACCCCTGGAAGAAACCCCATCCCCAGTAAGCAGTCAATCCTCATTACTTCCGTACTCGCTGCTGCTGGTAACCAGTCATCTGGTTTCTGTCTTTAGGGATTTACCTATCCAGAACATATCATATAAATTGAATTATAAAATTCGTTCGTTACCATTTGTGTCTGACTTCTTTCATGTAGCACAGTGTTTGAAAAGCTTAGCGATGTTGTTCCAGCGTTTCGTTCCTTATGACTGAATAATATTCCATTGTATGAACATACCACATTTTGCCAGTTCGTTTTTCTGTTGATAAACATTTGAATTGTTTCCACTTTGTGACTATCATGAATAATGTATAAGTTTTTGTTTAAATGCCCACTTTGCATTTTCTTGGGTATATACTAGGAGTGGAAGGCTAGGTCACATGACATTTCTGTATTTAGCCTTTTGAGGAACTGCCATATTTTATCACAGCCGCTGCCCCACTTCACATTCACACCAATGCGTGCGAGTACCGGCTTCTCCACGTCTTTCCCAGCCCTTTTTCTTTTTTTTTTTTAATTGCACTTTAGGTTCTGGGGTACATGTGCAGATCATGCAGGACGTGTTGCATAGGTACACACATGGCAATGTGGTTTGCTGCCTCCATCCCCCTGTCACCTATGTCTGGCATTTCTCCCCATGTTATCCCTCCCTGACTTCCCCACCCCTCCACTGTCCCTCCCTTGCCCTCCCCAACAAACCCCAGTATGTGATGCTCCCCTCCCTGTGTCCATGTGTTCTCATTGTTCAACACCCGCCTATGAGTGAGAATATGCAGTGTTTGATTTTCTCTTCTTGTGTCAGTTTGCTGAGAATGATGGTTTCCAGATTCATCCATGTCCCTACAAAGGACACAAACTCATCATTTTTTATGGCTGCATAGTATTTCATGGTGTATGTGTGCCATATTTTCCTTGTCCAGTCTATCATCAGTGGGCATTTGGGTTGGTTCCAGGTCTTTGCTATCGTAAACAGTGCCACAATGAATATAAGTGTGCATGTGTCTTTATCATAGAATGATTTATAATCCTTTGGGTATATACCCAGTAACGGGATTGCTGGGTCAAATGGAATTTCTATTTCTAGGTCCTTGATGAAGCGCCACACTGTCTTCCACAATGGTTAAAATAATTTACACTCCCACCAACAGTGCAAAAGTGTTCCTATTTCTTCACATCCTCTCCAGCATCTGTTGTCTCCAGATTATTTAATGATCGCCATTCTAACTGACGTGAGGTGGTGTCTCAATGTGGTTTTGATTTGTATTTCTCTAAAAATCAGTGATGATGAGCATTTTTTCATGTTTCTTGGCCTCATATATGTCTTCTTTTGAAAAGTGTCTGTTCATATCCTTCCTCCACTTTCGGAAGGGTTGGTTTGTTTTCTTCTTGTAAATCTGTTTTAGTTCTTTGTAGATTCTGGATATTAGCCCTTTGTCAGATGGGTAGATTAGAAAAATTTTTTCCCATACTGTTGGTTGCTGGTTCATTCTAATGATTGTTTCTTTTGCTGTATAGAAGCTGTGGAATTTAGTTAGGTCCCATTTGTCTATTTTGGCTTTTGTTGCCAATCCTTTTGGTGTTTTAGTCATGAAGTCCTTGCCTATGCCCATGTCCGGAATGGTTTTGCCTAGGTTTTCTTCTAGGGTTTTTATGGTGTTAGGTCTTATGTTTAAGTCGTTAATCCATCTGGAGTTAATTTTAGTGTCAGGTATCAGGAAGGGGTCCCGTTTCTGCTTTCTGCACATGGCTAGCCAGTTTTCCCAACACCATTGATTACACAGGGAATCCTTTCCTATTGCTTGTTTTTGTCAGGTTTGTCAAAGATCAGATGGTTGTAGATGTGTGGCATTGCCTCCGAGGCCTCTGTTCTGTTCCATTGGTCTATATCTCTGCTTTGGTACCAGTATCATGCTGTTTTGATTACTGTAGCTTGAAATCAGGTAGTGTGATGCCTCCGGCTTTGTTCTTTTTGCTTAGGATTGTCTTGGCTATGCGGGCTCTCTTTTGGTTCCATATGAAGTTTAAGGTGGTTTTTTCCAATTCTGTGAAGAAGGTCATTGGTGGCTTGATGGGGATAGCGTTGAATGTATAAATTACTTTGGGCAGTATGGCCATTTTCACGATAGTGATTCTTCCTAACCATGAGCATGGAATGTTTCTCCATTTGTTTGTGTCCTCTCTCATTTCCTTTGAGCGGTGGTTTGTAGTTCTCCTTGAAGAGGTCCTTTACTTCCTTTGTTAGTTGTATTCCTAGGTATTTTATTCTCTTTGTAGCAATTGTGAATGAGAGTATGCTCATGATTTGCTCTCTGTTTGTCTGTTATTGGTGTATAGATATGCTTGTGATTTCTGCACATTGATTTTGTATCCTGAGACTTTGCTGAAATTGCTTATCAGTTTAAGGAGATTTTGGGCTGAGATGATAGGGTCTTTTAAATATACAATCATGTGGTCTGCAAGTAGAGACAATTTGACTTCCTGTTTTCCTAATTGAATACCTTTTTTTTTTTCCTTGCCTAATTGCTCTGGCTAGAACTTCCAATACTATATTGAATAGGAGTGGTGACAGAGGGCATCCTTGTCTAGTGCCAGATTTCAAAGGGAATGCTTCCAGTTTTTGCCCATTCACTATGATATTGGCAGTAGGTTTGTCATAAATAGTTTTTATTATTTTGAGATATATTCCTTCCATACCTAGTTTATTGAGAGTTTTTAGCATAAAGGGCTGTTGAATTTTGTCGAAGGCCTTCTCTGCATCTACTGAGATCATCGTGGTTTTTGTCTTCGGTTCTGTTTATGTGGTGGATTACTTTTATAGACTTGCGTATGTTGAACCAGCCGTGTATCCCTGGAATGAAGCCTACTTGATCGTGATGGATAAGCTTTTTGATGTGCTGTTGCAGTCGGTTTGCCAGTATTTTATTGAAGATTTTTGCATCTGTGTTCATCATGGATATTGGCCTGAAGTTTTCTTTTTTTGTTGAGTCTCTGCCAGGTTTTAGTATCAGGATGATGTTGGTTTCATAAAATGATTTGGGAAGGATTCCCTCTTTTTGGATTGTTTGGAATAGTTTCAGAAGGAATGGTACCAGCTCCTCTTTGTATGTCTGGTAGAATTCAGCTGTTAACTCGTCTGGACCTGGAGATTTTTTGGTTGGTAGGCTATTAATTGCTGCCCCAACTTCAGCCCTTGTTATTGGTCTGTTGAAGGTTTCAGCTTCTTCCTGGTTTAGGCTTGGGAGGGTGCAAGTGTCCAGGAATTTTTTCATTTCTTCCAGGTTTACTGGTTTATGTGCATAGAGCTGTTTGTAGTAATCTCTGATTGTAGTTTGTATTTCTGTGGAGTCAGTGGTGATATCCCCTTTATTGTTTTTTATTGCATCTATTTGATACTTCTCCCTTTTTTATTAATCTGGCTAGTGGTCTATTTTGTTGATCTTTTAAAAAAAATCAGCTCCTGGATTTATTGATTTTTTTTGAAGCCTTTTTTTGTGTGTCTCTGTTTCCTTCAGTTCTGCTCTGATCTTAGTTATTTCTTGTCTTCTGCTAGGTTTTGAGTTTTTTTAATCTTGCTCCTCTAGCTCTTTCAATTTTGATGATAGCATGTCAATTTTAGATCTTCGCTCGCTTCTCTGGTAGGCATTTCCTAGAGATTCTGGTACGTTTTGTCTTCATTCTCGTTGGTTTCTATGAACATCTTGATTTCTGCCTTCATTTCATTGCTTATCCAGTCAACATTCAGGAGCCAGTTGTTCAGTTTTCTTGAAGTGGTACGGTTCTGAGTTAGTTTTTTAATTCTGAGTTCTAATTTGATTGCACTGTGGTCTGAGAGACTGTTGTGATTTCTGTTCGTTTGTGTTTGCTGAGGAGTGATTTACTTCCAATTATGTGATCAATTTTAGAGTAGGTGCCATGCGGTGCTGAGAAAAATATATATTCTATGGGTTTGGGGTGGAGATTTCTGTAGATGTCTGTTAGGTCCACTTGGTCCAGATCTGAATTCAAGTCCTGGGTATCCTTGTTAATTTTCTGTTTTGTTGATCTGTCTAATATTGACAGTGGAGTGTTAAAGTCTCCCACTATTACTGTGTGGGAGTCTAAGTCTCTTTGTAGGTCGTTAAGAACTTGCTTTATGTACCTGGGTGCTCCTGTATTGGGTGCATATATATTTAGGATCATTAGTTCTTCTTAATGCATTGATCCTTTTACCATTATGTAATGCCCTTTTTTGTCTCTTTTGATCTTTGTTGATTTAAAGTCCATTTTCTCAGAGATTAGGATTGCAACTCCAGCTTTTTTTTCGCTCTCCATTTGCTTGATAAATCTTCCACCATCCCTTTATTTTTAGCCTATGTGTGTCCTTGCATGTGAGATGGGTTTCCTGAATACAGCACGTCAGTGGGTTTCGACTTTTTATCCAATTGGCCAGTCTGTGTCTTTTGACTGGGGCAGTTAGTCCATTTACATTTAAGGTTAGTATTGTTATGTGTGAATTTGATCCTGCTGTTTTGATGCTAGCTGGATGTTTTGCCTGTTAGTGGACATACTTTCTTCATTGTGTCAATGGTCTTTACCATTTGGTACGTTTTTGAAGTGGCTGGTACTTGTTCTTTTCCTTGTTTAGTGCCTCTTTCAGGAGCTCTTGTAAGGCAGGCCTGGTGGTGACAAAATCTCTCAGCAATTGCTTGTCCATAAAGGATTTTCTTTCTCTTTTGCTTATGAAGCTTAGTTTTTGGCTGATTATGAAATTCTGGGTTGAAAGTTCTTTTCTTTAAGGATGTT